GGGGGGGGGGGTGGTATATTCAAATGCAAATTTCTTAGCCAGGAGAAATGGAAATAACCATATTTCTTGATCACTCTCTTTCCTTTGAAGACGAAGTGGTAAAGTAACAAAATAATAAGCTGTCAACAACTGAATGATAGCTTGAAACACCAAAAGTCACTAATTTTTTTGTTTTGTATCGTATCAACAGAATTGCCTTTTTTTTTAAAATTAAACACTGGTGCACATATATAGAGAGAATCTACTCTTTCATATTCAAGCGAAACACCTTGTTGCAAAGTAACCCCTTTCCCCATCTTACTTTCTTTTGCGTACAAGCTGGCTGACATGAATACGTTCATTGTAATTTTATCGCAAAGTGACTTACTTACTTACTTACTTACTACCCATTACGCCATCTGGCGTTTAGGGCAGCAACAAAGGATCTCCAGCTCTGTCTGTTTTGGGCCATCTTGGTCAGTGTTCCCCACGAAATCGCAAAGTGAGCACCTCAGAAATTGGCCTGTAAATTGAAAAGTGCTCAAGTAACTCAACTTCTGAGAGCAAGAAACAATTCCAAAGTGGTATCTGAATACTTTTTGAAAGTCTGAAAGTGAAATATGAAATAAAAGCAAACATTTTGTTACACGCACAAGTACTTGATTCCAGGGTGACGCACGACGACGTGAAAGGTTGTGAAATAGCGGGCGCCAAAAATGAGCGCTACGCACCAAAGTAATATGAAAAACAGCGCTCCAACGTGGAGCGCCGCGAGACGAAAAGGGGCAAAGATGTTATAATAGTACTAGAGGTCCAGCTGTGACGTCGCCCACGTAAACTCACTATGGCTGTGCGAGCCCGCTCAGCTCTCTTTGTCGCCATTTTTGAGAGGATTAGAAACAGCGCTGTCACTCTGCACGTCTTCTTGCAACGTCTAGGTCTTCATAGCATTTGAAGCTCAGTTCAGTTTTATTTTAAGTTTTCTTTTTGTTTGCTGTTGTTCTTTAATCAGACAACATACACGCTTACACAATGCCGCACTTGCTGATCGATTGTGGGAAACATTACTGCTCTTAAATGTGAGCTACAAATGAACAGAGATATATAATAGGAGGTATTGTTTATTTTTCCCGGGTGGGTGGGGGAGGGGCAGAGGAAGACAAAGTGAGTTATTGAGTTTGTTAAGAAAAAGGACGATTTCATACTTACAAAATGGATTGCTTTTATGTCATGTTGTCTACACTCTCCTTCTACTGATGCAAAGCCTAGGTCTTCATAGAGTTTAAAGGGAGTTAAGACTGGGTTAATTATTTGATATATTAATTCGTTATAGTCTCAAAATGAGCAATTAATTGTTGGCTGGGATGCTAAAAATCACTCTATGTATGGATCCTGTGCGCTCATCCAAAGAGCGTTGTTTGATATCACGCACAAATAATGATAAACTGACATTTAAAAAATGCAGCACTTTAGATAAATAGCTGGTTAATCTTAAACATTCGCAAAATTTTCTCAAATTGGCATTGATTGGCAATGGTGTTTGGCTACACAACACCCTATTTTCCATAAACCTCTGCTGCTGCTGTTGCACATGCTGTTTAGCATCAGTTCCGTAAATGAGACAGAATATTATGCCAGTCTTATTGGTGGTTAGTTACACGTGGTTGGCTACTTTATATTCTCTCATCTCAACAACATCGACAGTGGTTTATTTCCAATCAACCAGCCATGAAGGTATGCTAGATTGCAGCTGAAGCTTCTCGTAGCTTCTCAGCCACATTCCTGATTCCAGAGGGCCGATATGAGCGCCTTGTTGTGGTCAGCTGTGCTAAATCTAGACATACTGTTTGAGCAACGCACTGCAAAAGATTTAAATAAAATTATGTTTGTGTTTTATCAGGTGATCATCAGGTCCATCTCATTCATATTTCCTGAATTTTACTCACCCGCATGGTCTCACTGTGTAAAAGGGCTTATTTGCATTATTTGGAAATTATCTGGCCCATTTATAGGTATTCAATCACAAAAATCCCTACGAGTACATTTTAGCGATAGGCAAATCACATGAAAAAGAAATCAACATCAAAAAAGGCTTCACAGAGTATCATTAATCCATGATAACAAATGTTCCTGTGCACCGACTGGCCTTTTATTCCTCTCCGAAATGGCGGCGCATGCCTCTAGTTTGACACCCGTGATGTCACAGCTAAGACTTCTAGTTCTTTGGGTTAAAGAGAGAAATAAAAGGAAGCTGACTAAAGCACGTTGTCACTTTGTTCCAGCGGTTCCAGCAGAGAATCAATCAATAAAGTACACCTGTCTAAACTGTCTTGTCTTATTAATGCAAGTTTTTCTACCCTATGATTCTGTTTGTTTGTGAGAACAGGAGGAAGCTGACACAGCTTACAAGCAGAAAGTGGAGCAGAACAAGAAAGAAGCAGAGGAGAGAACAGCAAAGAAAAGAGCTAAAAGGTTTGTGTCTGTTCCCTTTGGGGG